GGGTTTGAACCTCCAGCCTTCTGGTTAGCAGTCAGGTGCCTTAGGCACTATGCTACCAAAGCTCCAAGCATCATGTAGATTAAATTAAATGGCCTCCCAAGGGTGAGATTCCAAGATTCTGTGTTCATTATGTCCAGAAGGTCTATAATTTGAGGAGTCTCTGGCTGTGGAATTGTAAGGTTTAAACAGTATGTCTTCCTGTGGGGAGTAGGGACACCAGGGGAACGTGTTGAGGTGGACTTTTACCTTCTACCTCAGGATACTTCATGAGCAGCAGCATTCCATAGCGGAGTGTAGAGCTCACTGTCTCCGTGCCAGCAAAGAAGAGATTGAGGGTGGTGAGGACCAAGTTCTTGAGGTTGAATTCTGTGTGGGGGTTATTTTTATCCTAAAAGTGAGGATGATAGTAAACAGAATCATCTTTTTCTGTCTTTATCTTCTTATTTCCTCCCTGTGTATCAAAGGAGCTCTGGTGGTATAGTCCCTAAGACATTTGACTGCTAACCAGAAGGCTGGCAGTTCAAACCCACCAGCCACTCCTCAGAAGGAAGTTTGGGCTTTCTTAGTGATCACTACCTCCATACTGATACCGCCTCGGAAACCCAAGAAAGGGTCGCTGTGAGTCGGATCTGACTTGACAGCAGTGAGTTTAGTGTATAGAGAAGGCCTCTGGGAAAAGACAATAGCTTGGTAGAGCAGGTGGGTACCTGAGGTGGAACGTTCAGGCAGAGGAAACAGCAAGGGCAAAGGTGTAGAAGCTGGGGTTACCTGTTGTTTTAGATAGCAGAGAGGGAGCCAGTGTGGTTGGAGTGAAGTGAACAATGGCGGAATGGGAGGCCAAGAACATAGAGTGTCTTGTGAGATTGGAAAGTTCAAGAGCATGATGGTATATAATTCTAAACTTCTGAGTACCAAGGTTCTGTGACATAAAAACATGTTGTTGTTATGTGCCGTTGAGTTGGACCCGACTAATAGCAACCCCTCCTTGGGTTTCCGAGGCAGTATCACTGCGGAAGCAGATTGCCCAACCTTCCTTCTGAGGAGTGGCTGGTGGGTTTGAACCACCAGCCTTCTGGTTAGCAGTTTGCTACCAGAGCTCCTCGTGGTTCTGTGACGTAAAAACATACATTTCTAAATTTCTGACCTTCTGAGATTCTATGAATCATAAATATTGAACTTCTCAATTCCTAAATCACTAAGACGTTTAACATGTAAGTTTCTCAAATTCTGAGATTCTGAAGTTGTCATTGTACTTTTCTACAGTTGTATGGTGCTGGCATATATAATTCGAAAGGTGTAAAATTTTGATAGTCCATTACTAGAACACTTTAAACTTCAGTCATTTATTCTAACATTTTAATCGTTTCTACTTTTTTTCTGAATAAACCAAATGTAAACAATACTGTTTCTTTGGTCCCCAAGTTGTTTGAATATGGTTTTATTGTGACAAGGCCTAGGGATTGAGAAGATGAGAGGAAAGCGTTGACAGAAGAGGAGGAGGTACCTGGTGCATCTTGATGAGGAAGCAGTCGATGAAATCCCGTGGATGTGAGGGGTCAAAAGATGCTTCGTTGATCTTGACCCTGGAGGCGACGAAATCCTTGAGCTCCTCGATCAGATA